CAGGCCACGCCCGTACGCAAATACGACCCCGCCTTCTCCGGTGAGGCCACCGCCCCGCCCCGCCCCGCCCCGCGCATTGGCCAGTCCCTGGCACAGCGTGCACGTGAACCTCACTGAGACTTTCCTCCAGGATTTCCTAGCCTGGGCTCCTTTCCCCTTCATGACCCCTGACCTCAGACCCTCTTCTGTTCCGAGTCCGAGAGTTGCTTCGGGAGGCGCCCCGCACCCTCAAATCTTCCAGCTAACCCCACGGTTCTCCCAGTCCAGCGGGGGCGGGCAGAAGCAGTGACGAGGCACTTTTTGCAAGGAATGGGAGGGGGAATGAACAGACCCCGGCGTCCTGGTTTGCGATCGGTTCAGCTTTGGTGGTGGGGACGCCCGGCTGCGACCAAGGCGGGGTTCTGGCCACCGCTGCGCCTCCGGCTCCCGCCCGATCCTGTGGGTTTGGCAAAGCAGCTGGCAGGGGCATTAAGGCCCATTAGCAAAGGCGAGGTTGCTGGGAGCCGGGCGCCGGGGAGGTGGTGTGTGGGGGGAGAACTTCTCAGCTGCCGCAGCCTTACGAGCAGGTGGTCAGCATGTGCGGGAGGGGTGAGGGGGTGGAGGGAAAAGGGGGAAGGAGGTTCCCGGCAACAGATGGCACGGACAGGACTGGTGCTTTCAGACAAGAGGGTGGGAGGGGGCTGGCCATCTGCACCTGGAGGCTAACTGCGAGCTCCTCCCCCTCGCCCCCAGCGCAAAGAAAAAGAGCTGGGGGAAGGGGAAGGCCAATTTTATTCAAACTAAAGGTTCAAACATCCCCCCCCCTCCCGCCCCGCAACACGGGATGGACGGGAAGAAGGCAGCTGGTGGTGGGGTGAAGGAAGCAAAGGTGAGGGCTGCCTCCACCAACCACCACCCCACCTCTCTCACTAGCCAGATCTGTGGGAGACCTGAGGCGCAGCTGAGGGACTCCCCTCTAGACGAATCTGCATCTCCATCATGGTGTGCAGGGGGCCTGAGGCTCTCTCAAATGCCGGCAGGAATAAATTAAGCTCTGACATAGAGTTCCCGGATGGCCACTCTGGGGTGGGGAATGCGGGATACGGAGGCGTGAAGTGGAGAGTTCCCTAGCCCCAGCATTCCCCAAGCCCCAGGGAAGGGCGCTAGGCAAGACTGGGAAACCCAGGCGGTGTCCTCAGACAGAAGCAGAGTGGGAAAGAGGCATCACAGCTGGGGATGGCCCCCTACTGGCCGGATTTCCCGGAGGGAAGCTGTCTGAGGGGCTTTGATCCGACGTCAACTCTGGTCAGGAGGCTTCGGGAACTGGTTGAGCCTGGCGACTAGCCCAGTATCGATGGTAGGTGTCCTGGAAGAGGTCCCGGCAGTCGATGTGGGCGCGGAGGCGGGCGCAGGCTAGGAAAGCCCCTGCCAGTTTGCGGTGCAGGGCATAGGTCTCCTCGGGCGGTGGGCGGAGCCGATGCTGCAGCAGCACCGGGATGAGGCACTGCACGCGGTGGGCAGTGTCACCTGCCCCAAAGTCGTAGGGGCCATGGGTGGCGAAAGGTTCCCCCAAGATCATCACGGCCTCCACGTGGGCATCCGAGAATGCCTAGGGATGGGGCAGAGCAGAGGCACCCAGTATGAACAGCTCTCCACTTAACCCAGAAGGGACAAGCAGCTTTTAGCTAGAGTCTCCAATACCAACACAAGCCCCGCTCCTTCCAGAGCCCCCAGGAGACAAGCAGCTCCCTACTCCTTCCCCCCAAAACAGCCCTTCACTCCATCTGGGAACCTCGGGTAGATAAGCAGTCCTCTATAGAACAGAGAAGCAGCCTCCATTCCCAGACCCCCAGTACCCACTCCAAGTAGTGCCCATTCCCCTATTCCTTCCCAGAGCCCCCCAGTACAGATCAGCAGTTCCCCACTCCCCCAGCGTTAAGCAGCCCCGAGCCCCTCTGACAGACACCAGCCCCTACTCCCACTGTGTCTCCGCACCTTGGTTTCAAAGCCTGTGAGGAATTTGAGGTCCCGGGATTTCTGCAGCACCTGATCTCTGTCTCCATTGGCTGCAGCCATCACTACCTGGGGAGAAGGGTATGGGGCACAGGGTCAAAGGCCCCAGCAGGGGCGGGATTCAAGGGTTCAAGGAGATGTCTGGGGAAATGGAGACCCAGAGCTGGATGCCAGCCCCCACTGTATCCACGTCCCTTCTCGCCTGCTTAGACCTTCTCTCATCTAGAAGCCTGTCCTGTCCCTCCTCAACCTGCCCCTGTCTGTTTCTCTCAAGACCTTCCAAAACCTAGAGGATGGGAGTGAGTCAGGGTTTCTGCCTGTCTGCCTGGGAACACACAGCCTGCCTGGAAACTAAACGGTGAAACAGCACAGAAGAAAATAAATGTCAAGTGCTGCTCATGGGTCCACACACTCAACTGGCCAAGGATGTGACTGTGACTGAAAACTGCATCCGACGTTGCTACTGGGCCATCTCTGTGATCACCTGGTTGATGTTGATACCTGTCTCCGGGACTGGACTTGGGGCCCTGAGAGAGCCTCAGGAGGCCCTTGGTGAACCTTTGTTTAGCAAATGAGTGTGTGGAGCTGAGCACCTCTCCGGCCGTGAGGGCACGCCGGGTTGGCAGACAGAAGCCAGAGCCAGCCTGCCTGGGCTCAGTCCCAGCTCTGCCACTGCTGTCTGACTCAGGAAGGCCCTTGCCTCAGGCCTCTGCCTTCTTATCTGTGAAGTGGGGATGCTGAGTTATCTTCTTCATGGGGTCGTTGTGAGGATAAAGGAGGTGACAGCTGTGCTGAGCACTGTGCCTGCATGTAAGAAGCACCATAAATATTATCAGCTACTACGGTTATTAAGAGGTAGATGTGAAGGTTCCGACTTCACATAAGACGAAAAAGAGACTCTCAGGGGGCAATAGCAAGGCAAGGGGTGGAACCTGGGCGAACTCTTAACCACTGAGTGGCTCTTTCTTGGGAGGAAGGGGAATACAGGATTAAATCTGGCGGTTCTATTCTGTCTCAGCATCCCTGCCCAAGCCTGTCTGGCCATCTGTCAGGCTTGTGGTCCTTGGGGGCCAGTGTGACAGGGCTTTTTGAAACTGGAAAAGGCTGGGGAGGTGGCAAGAGGGCCATGCTAAACAGGCTGGGGGTGGGGGACATGAGATGTCCCAACTACCCAGAAAGGCCTTGCTTTGTGCCTCAAGTGGCCTGCAGAGAGGGCCCCAGGGGGCCAGTGTGTTGGGGGGGGCGGTTACTAGCTCCTCCTTCCTACTGGCATCTCAGGGGTGGCCCCACCATCCTCCAGTCTTCAAGCCAGAGCCCAGGGTCTTGTCCAGGACACCTCTCTTTCTCTCCCCACAGCCTCACTGGGCTTCCAATACCACTCATTATTCAGAGGGGGTTTCCTAATTCTTAATGTGCCCCTCTCCTGCTCAAGTCCCTCCCATGGCTTCACAGGGCACCCAGATAAAGTACAAGTGGCAAAGCATGGCTTCTCGGACCCAGAGTGATTTGGCTCCAATCTCATCGCTGGCTCCTGCTCGGCCGCCCACCTGCCCACCTAGTCAGAACGTGAACTTTTCAGTCTTTTAGACCTTTACTAATCAAAATGTGGTCTCTGTAAGGGGAGATTTGGCATTATCTGGGAGTGTGTTAGAAATGCAGCATTTTATGCCCAACTCCAGCCCAGAATCTGCATTTTAACTAGGTCATGGGGCGCGGTGTTTCACATGCATGTTAAAGTTTGAGAAGCGCTGCTCTAATGGGAATATTCCTTCTCACCTCGTGGCCTTTGCACATGTTATTGGTCTGGAATACCCTCCTAGCTGCTTCCTGATTGGTCTCCTCATCCCTCAGGTCTCAACTCTGATTCCTCTTCCTCCAGGAAGCCCTCCCTGACTCCTCGGCTGGGCTAGGCTCCTTTGAGTTCCTACAGCGCCCTGTGCTTCCTCATTCCACCCCTGACCACTCTGGGTCCTCACTGTCTCCCCCCCCACCACCACCACCACTGGGCTATATTGGTCACTGTTGTCCCCAATATTACCCAGAATGGGGCTGGGCAGAGAGAGGTATCAAAGAATGTTTGAATTGATGACTAAATGAGAAGAAGACCAGGTCGACTGTCTAATCTCGCCACATTAATGAGATAGTGTTCTCTGTGACCTCTGAGACAAACTGGCCCTGGTGAGCGGGAGGGACAGTGGAAGGGATGGGGCGACGAGCGAGGAAACACCTCCTGAGGACAGAGCAGCCCCTTAGGGATCAGCTTGCCAAGAAGGTATGTGAGCACGAGGCCGGACACCAAGGCCTTGGGCAGTGTGAGGTGTGGGGAGGCGGAAGCATGGCCATCATGGGCTTTTCTTTTAGGAGGAGGGAGGCTGGTCCACATTAGGAGCACGGGCCCTGGACCCAGACCACCTGAGTTTGAATCCCAGGTTGGGTGTGACCTTGGGCAAGTGACTTAACCCCTCTGAGGTCCAGTTACTTCATCTGTAAAATAGGGCTAAAAATGGTCCTTACCCTGTGAAGCTGCTGTATATTTTAAATCAGTTACCATAGGTATAGCGCTTAAAACAGCACTGACATAATATTAAGTGCTTAGTATTTGTTAGCTACTGTTAAGACTATTATTTCTTATTTCTTAATTCCAGATACTATATTTCTCCTCACCCTTGCCTCAGTATCTGGCTTGAGCCTTGGCCCTTCAGAGACCCCGGAGTTGGGGAGACTCACCTCAATGTAATGGTCTGTGAATTCGGTCCCAAATTCCCGGCTTGCACCAAAGTCCAGCAAAGTCACCTGGGAACGAGGACGGTGAAAGGGGCGCTGGGAGTCCACCAATGCTTCCCATTGTCTGTCCAGGGTGGCTAGGGTCCATCTTTCCCTCCCTACACCCTGTCCCCTCCTGCAAAGTCCCTGCCTCAGGTCTCCACACGTCTAACCTACCACCATATGAAGCTGAAGGAAGCTGGCTTTTATTTTTTTGGTCCTAATTGTTTTTATAACATGTTTTAGGCATAGAAAAAAATCCAGAGAATAATAAAATATATGGAAAAGTGAACACCTACGAATGTCATTACCCAGCTTAAAATATAAAATACTATCAATCCAGGTGAGGCCTTCCGTGTACCCCAACCTGCTTCTACCTCCCCCACATCCCTGCCCTCTCTTCCAAGGTCACCACTTTCCTGAAATCACCATGTGTGTATTTCTACATGTTTCTGTATATGTGTGCACCCATGAACAATCCATAATGTTTTGTATACTTGAAAACTTCATTTAAGTGGCATCTATGATAGTTATCCTGCAACCTACTCTTTGTGGCCAGCAAGTTTTGTGATTTATCTCCACTGCTATGTGCAGCTCTGGCTCATTCATTCGCTTTTCACTGGTGTGTAAGGACTTCATTGTGAGAGTACATCACAATGCATTTATCTGGTTGATGGGCATTGTGGGTGTTTCTGGGTTTTGCTATTAAAAACACTGCTCAATGAACATGTGTTGGAGTTTCTCTAGGGCAGTGGAGTTCAGACTATTGATCACAACCCACAATAAGAAATGCAGATTATACTGGGCACCAGTGCCAATGCCACATAAATACAAGTGTCAAACAAAAGTGTCCCGAAATATTATAGCTCCCTCCCACTGATACTATTCTAGGACTTGTAAATGAAAAAATGTAGTTGAGACCCAATCAATTGACGTCAGGACACATATTACCTTCTGAGGTCAGAAAAACCCTTTTCTGGGGTGTCAGCCTAGAGGGATGTAAGGTGTGTGTGCCCTTGGGGGGAGGGGGGTGGCAAGGGACTGAGGCTGGAGACTAAGTGGGGCCACGTCACACTCAGCAAAGCTCTCAGACTTGATCCCCAGGGTGCCGGAGCACTGTGGAGGGGACAGTGTGGCCAGATTTGTGTTTCCGAAAGATCCCTCTGGGGACAGAATGGGCACAGACCACGTCGGAGGGCCATGTGGCAACCACATGCGCTGCGAGTCTCTCGGTCCTGTGTCCTCTGCCGGGAACGCTCTCCCCTGCTCTGCAGATGGCTGTCCCCTTCTCATCTTTCTGTTTTCAGCTTTAATGGCACGTCCAAGAAGCCTTCCCTGACCCCACATACCCAAGCAGGGTCAGCCACTTTCCCTGGCTTCCCACAGCCCCCTGGGACTCCCCCACCACTGACCACTCTGGCCTGTGCTTCTCCATCATGGCACTAACTACTCTAGGTCGTCACTGTTTGCTGACGGGTCCCCCCACTGGACTGGAAACACTGAAAAGGTGAGGATCAGGGTTGTCTTGGCATCATTATCAAGAGGCAGGTACTGGGTGCTCGGTGTGCTCTAAATGAATGACAAGTGTGGTCGTGATGACTGACTACCTTCCAAAAGTTGTGCTCCCTCTTCTATACTGTCACATTGCCACTAGGAAGCCACGGCCTAGACAGGGACTCCATTTCCCAGTATCCTTTGCACCTAGACAGGCCCTGTGACCAGTTCTCATTAAGGAATAGTAAAGGGAATGACGTGTCACTTCTGGGCAAAGCACTTAGACAAGGGGTTACCCTCTCAATCTCTCTCCCTTTCTACTGGAAAGAGCATTGCAAGGCCTAGGGGATGGTATAATCAAGAAAGGGAAGGAGCCTTGGGCCCCTGAATCACCGCCTGGAGCAGGGCCACCCCAGCTTGTTACACGGGTAATGAACTATTATTGTGTTGAGCTGTATTGTGTGAGAAATATCGGGAAATATCTATCAGGGCAGCTAATGTACCCTGGCACACATCACAAGGAACCAACCTGGTGGCTGGAGGCGTCATACAGGAAGTTGGCCCAGTTGGGGTCTGTTTGCATGAAGCGGAACTCAAACAGCTCCCGCAGACACAGCCTGAGGAGCTGGAAGCAGATCTGGGGTGGGGAGAAGGAGGACCGGACACCTCAGAGTCATCTGGCCCTGTAAAGCCCTCTAGCCTGGAGAGCACCCATGGGTCTGGCCTGCCCTGCCATGGGGCAGCACCCTCCCTACTGTCCCACGAGACCACATACCTGGTTCCGGATGTCCTGGCTTAGGCTCTGGCATTGGTCCAGGGGGACCCCTCCAGCCAGCTCCATGCCCAGCACCCGCTTCGTGCAGAGTTCTTTAATCACTGCCGGCACCCGGAAGAAGGGGTCGTCTGCCAGCAGCTGCCTGGGGCGGAAGGGAGGCAGGCGACAGGACTTAGTGCTTCAGGCCCCTGTGGCCCAGGCTGAGGCCTCCTCCTCATCCTTTGAGAAGCGCTCCATGAGCAGCGTATGTCTTGCCTTCTCTCCTGCTCTCCTGTTGCCTCTGTGTGCCGAGTCATGGCCAATGCTTGGCTAGACTGACATTCATTCATTCATTCATTCATTCATTCCACAAACATCTCCGTAGGGCCTAGTGTCCCTGCCCCTAAGCCGGGTGCCACTGGAGACCCAGTCACCACTTCCCCACCAGAAACACTTCTAAGACATCCGTTTGCCCCATGATGAATTCAATGCATTAAGCTCGATGAACAATACTTTATCTCAACTTACAAATTAATCCATCCGAAAAAAAATAGTCAGATATATAAATCTGAGTCCATACTGATACTCACTGGCCACTCCTTGGACTCATTATGCAGAACACTGGTTAATTAAGGGAAAGAATCCTTCTCAGTGTCTGTCCTTGTGGACAATGCCGGGGGACAGAGCAGTGGGCAAGCCCCATTACATACACCAGAGATCACACTCCAACAATCCAACAGTCCCATAACAGAGTGAGATGTGTCAGTATAAGATTTGGGAGGCAGAGAATGTGAGTGAGGGCTCTGGCTGGGGACCTGCGGGATGGCTGGAGCAGAGTGAGCTGGGGAGCAGAGTGAGCTGGGGAGCAGGGGCTGGGTAAGGGCCAAGGACTGATGTGGGTGTTATTCTAAGGGCACTGGGCAATCCCGGGAGGGAGGGCTCTCCCCAGATCACACAAGGAGTGCTCGGGCCCAGCTCGCTTCACACCCTCCTCCAGGTGCTGCTTCTAGGCTTGTATTTTTTTCTTCATTTATAAAATCTCTGAACCTTCCTCATGAATGGATGAGGCCACATGCTAACCATTTAATCAGCACGATTCCCTTTTATCCTCACTGCCCTGGGAGGATACTCCCCCAAGGGGAGTATTTGGACCACCCACCTGTTAAGGGTTGACCCGGGGCTGGATCCCACATCTGTCTGAGTCCAGGGCCCAAGCCCCCAAACCCTGCCTTCTACTGCCCTTTCTCCATCTACAGAGCCAACGTGGCTCAACAAACATCTGCCGCACCATGGAGGGTCTCACGGAGGTGTGGTTAACTCCGGCACAGCGTGATGCTTCTGCCACGCAAACACGTTCGTTGTTCCCTGTGGCTGTACTGCATTCATTTTCGCTGCTGTATGATATTCCGCTGATGAATGTACCATAATTTATTTATCTACCACACCGGATAAATTTTATAGATTTGAGTTGTTTTCAATTTGAACTTGTTGACAGGCACTTAGTGACACAATGAGTGACCATTACATCTCCCCCACTGGAGTGCGGTGGTTACCCAATCCACTCCACAGATGAGAACACAGAAACTTAGAGAAAGGAACCTGCCCAAGCTTACAGAGGACAAAGGGGATGAATGAAGTAATACGTGAAAGAATGGATGGACGAACAAACGAATAAAGAGGAAAAGGGTTTGCCAGCCCTACCCCAGGGCTCCAGTTGCCAGAGGCTGTGGTGGTACCTGCTTCCCACTCAGCCAGGGAGGGGAAAAAAGGAAGCTGGAGGGAAGGGGTCCTCCAGGGGCCTGCAGGGGGCTCAGCTCACCTGAAATTCTGGGCACAAGCCGCCTCCCGCCGGTAGTCACACTCCCAAGCCAGCTCCTGCTGCAGTGCCTGCAGACTCTGCTCAGCAAACAGGCCTGAGGCGGTGGCTGTGTCAGACAGGGAAGGCCACAGCCTGTCCCATCCCACCAGCCCGACCCCTCAGGCTCCCACTCGTGACGTCTGCTCTTGCCAATCGTCTTCCTCTGTCTCTCTCGCTGCCCCTCACACCTTCTGTTCCATGCCCTTCATCTGCATTATCTGTCCACACACTTCTCCTCTGTCCTTCATACAACTGTGGGCTCTTCTGAAGTCTCTCCCCTGGGGTCTGGCTCCCACAGGCACGCACACCAGTCCCCAGGCATCTCTCACAGTCACACGCCCCTCGCATTCTTTTCCACACTCTCTCACATTCTCTCTGCCTCTCCCTCTCACACACACACACACACACACACACACACACACACACACACACACCCACACACACACACACACACCTTGCTCCATCTTCAGGCTCTCTCCCATGCAGTAACACAAACATGAGTTCTTCCTGTTTCTATGGCTCTTTTTCAGACCTACCGTCCCTCTCTGCACACCCTGTGTCTGTTTCTGAATTTCAGTCTGGGCTTCTGTCTCTCTGTCAGAATTCTCGAGTTTGTCTTTTTCTCACACACTTGTACTTTCTGGGCTCTCCCTGGGGTACCTCGTTTCTGTCTCACATGCACACTTACACACTCACTCACACGCAGGCACGCCCTGCCCTGCCTACTTGCTCTCTGGGGTGTGTCTTGCAGTCAGGGGTGGAGGGGGCGCCTTACCGTCAGGCAGGGCCATGCTCATCTTGAGCACTGCCAGCAGGTTCTGGACGTCGCTCTGGATGCTCTGGGCAACGCCTGGGTACTGCAAGGGGAGGAGGGGGCAGGGTGGGAGTCACTCCTCTGAGACAGCAGGATGCCCACCGCTACCTGTCCGGCCGCCCCACTTACCTGGATCTTCACGGCCACCTCCGTCCCGTCCCTGAGCATGCCCTGGTGCACCTGCCCGATTGAGGCGGCGGCAAAGGGCACCTCCTCCAGAGAAGCCACCTTGGCCTGCCAGTCCCTGCCAAGCTCTTCTTCCAGGACTCTCTGGGGAGAGTGGTTGTGACAACCATCACTGATTACAGGCTGAGTTCATTCCCCGTGCGAGAACTTTACTAAGAACCCTGGCACTAATCACACGCTGGGTGCTGGGCCGATGAAGCTCTTGGCTGCTACCCCACTTTACAGATGAGAAAACTGAGGCTCACAATGACATCTCTCAGCCAAGGTGAAGCACCTGCCGCTGGCGGACGGGGAGGCCCAGCATAGCTTGTCTCCCAAGCCTGTACTCCTGAGGTTGTGTGCGCTGTTGTTGGGAATTGCTATTATGCATAGTTAAGATTGATAGTAAGTCTTTATTATAATTGTATATTGTATTATTAGTTCAGTTTGATAAAGAAGAGTTAAAATTGACAGAGGGCTTCCTGTGGGCCAGGTTCTGTTCAGACTCCCCACTGAACAGCAATAACCACCTAGGATCACATGGCGAGTGAGCAGAACAGAGATCAGAAGGCAGGTGGGCGGATGGATTCCAGATTCTACCCCCGTACCCAATTATTACCAGATCTTGGGTGCTTACTCACTGCCAGGCGCTTTGCCAACCTATTTACAGGTACCCTCTCCTTTAGAAACCAGTAATAATAACAACCGAAAGCGACATGTCACCCGTAGTGTGTCAGGGGCCCTTCTAAGTGCTCTCCGCACCCTAACTTACATAACACCATCACACAGGTGCTGCTATCACGTCGCCATTCCACAGATGAGGACACCAAGGCTCAGAGAGGTCAGGCCATGTGTCTGGGATCACGCAGGTAGGAAGTGGCAGAGCCAGACTTTGAACTCATGAAGCCTGGCCCTTCTCCACTGCGCTCACTGCCCCGTTAACAGCCCACTGGCCTGCGGGGGACTGGACTCGGCCCTCGGCACCAGCCTCTCATTTAATCACCACGACGAGCCTATGAAGTGTGTGCTTTGGTGATCTCCATTTGATAGATAGGGAAACTGAGGCCCAGAGTCAGACAGAGAGTAGAGACGCGAAGCCGGGGCGTCGGGCAGGTGGAGCTCCTCCCTGGCTAGCCTCACCGCTGGGCACTCACCAGCATTTGCCAGCGGGGCATGAAGTCGGCGCTCTGGCGGACCCGCTCGAAGATGCGCTGCAGCTGGGGGCTGATGAAGCTGTTGTCTTGGGAGATAGGGGGACAAGGGACAGTGAAGCAGTGAGAGAGGAGGTCGGGGGGGGACCCCTGGGGGAGTATCTGAAGTTGGGGCTTGTTGGTGGGTGGGATGGGGTAGAAGTGAGGTCAGGGGTCGAGGGTCATGCTATACCCTGGATGCTGAGCATTTGGCCAACCTTGAGGGCGGCCCCCCGAACGGTACACAAAGTCTGCACAATCCGCTCGGCATTGGCCTCTGACAGGAAAGGGCTGGAGCCTGGCTGGGAGCCGCCTTCTGGGGTGGAGAGAATGATCATTAGTATTGCAATCATAAAAACAATCAGTATTAATACCACTACACACCACCAGAATGGCCAGACTGAAAAAGACAACAGCAAGTGTCGGCAAGGACGTGGAGCAGCCCGAATTCCCATGCTGCTGACGGGGGTGCCGTGGCCCGAATTCCCATGCTGCTGGCGGGGATGCTGTGGCTCGGGCCCTTCGTGAACCAGTGGGAAGTGTCTAGTGAAGCACACACCTGCACCGGGTGCAGCTTCTCTCCTACGTGACTACCCAAGAGAAAACGCGTGTGTCCACCGACAGATATGTCCCAAGAAGAGTCACCACAGCAGTATTCATGACAGTCCCAAATTAGAAACATCCCAAATGACCATCAATACAACTAACAAAAGAATTATGAAACAGTCACAGAGTGACTTCTATGGGACGGAACAAACAACCCAGATCCACTCACAGCAACGTGGGTACATCTCTCAAAAAGAATGTTGAGGCAAAGAAGCCAAACACGTACAAGAATGCACGGTCTGAAACAGCCCAAACTCGGGGTCGGAAGCCGAGACAATGGTTGCCCTTGACCGGCCGGGATGAGGAATGAGGGGAGCTTCTGGAGAACCCGGGCATCGATTCTCAAAGTGTGGTCCGGGGACCCCTGAGCATCCCTAAGACTCTTCAGGGGGTCTGTGAGATCACAACTTTTTTCATAATAATATTAATACGGTATCTGCTCTTTTTCTTTATTCTCATTCTCCCAGGAATGCTCAGGGGAATTTTCCAGAAGCTCTATGACCGGTGGTGGTGCCACCACTGTGATGGCAGATGGAACGTGTGTATGTGTTCTCGTGTATTAAATTTTTCAGTCTTAATCTCGAATACAGTAAATATCCACATATATAACCTACATAAACAAGCTCTCTGCAGTCCTCATTCTATTTTTTAAGAGCTTTACGGAGATAGAACTCACTCATTTAAGGTGTGCCATTCAATGGCTTCTAACATATTCACTACTGCAACTATCACCACAACCAACTGTAGAACATTTCATTGCCCCAAAAAGCCCCTTACGTATTAGCAGTCACCGCTCCCAGCCCCCAACCACTTGCCCCTAAGTCCTTGGAAACCACCAATCTACTTCCTGTCCCTATAAATTTTCCTATCCTTGGCATTTCCCATCAATGAAATCATACAGTACGTGGTCTTTTATGTCTGGCTTCCTTCACTTAGGACAGTGCTTTCAAGATTCATCCACTTTATAGCATGGATCAGTACTTCATTCCTTTTTATGGCTGAATAATATTGCACTGCATGTTTTTTTAATCCACTCCTCAGTTTTAAGGGTGTGCAGGGATCCTGAGACCAAAAAATGTGAGAAATGCTCTTCTAGGGTTTCTTAATCAGGGTGCACAGATGCGTCCAATTTGTGAAAATTAATCCAGCTGTATGCTTATGATATGCACGCAGTTCTATATGCAAATTGTATTATTATTCAATAAAGTGTTAATTATTCTTTTATTTGTTAAAAATTTAATCCACTCTTTATTAAAGGCTCGCCCAGTGCCAGGCAGGATTCTAAATCTCTCTGTGGATTCTCTGGCAGAATCCCCACAATCGCCCCGAGAAGTAAGAACTACCAATGCCTTAATTTTCAAGGTGATTCAGTGAGGTACAGTGCCTGGCCCCGGGTGACATGGCACAGAAGTCACGGAGCAGGGTGCTGACTCAGGTTGGCCTTATCCTAAAGCTTAATTTTCTACCTACGTCCAACTTTTTATTTTGAAAAAAATCCAGACAGAAGAGTTGCACCATGAACACCCACATGCCCGTTTCAAAGATTTTAACATTCTGCCTCATCTGTTTTATCTGTGTGTACCCAAACACTTACTATTATTTTTCTGTGGATCCATTTGCATGGAGTTCCACTCAACCTGTGCTAAGAATAAGGACATTCCTCTGTACAGTGTCATAATCACACCTAAGAGAATTAACACTAATCCTCTAATATGTGTATCCAGTCCATACTTAGATTTTCCCAACTGTCCCTAAAAATCTTTTATAATTTTCTCCTCTAAGTTTTAAATTTTTCAATTATAGTTGACATTCAATATTATATTAGTTTCAGGTGCACAGCATAGTGGTTAGTCATTTACATACTTTATGAAGTGGTCCCCCCGATAAGTCTGGTGCCCACCTGACATCATAGTTATTACAATGTTATTGACTGTATTCTCTATGTTGTACTTTACAGCCCCATGATATAGTTATTTTTTTCAAACTGACACCCAATCATGGTTCACACATTCCATTTGTGAATTATTCTCTCTCTAGTCTCTTTTTATTCTAGAATACCCACACCCATTTTTGTTTCGGCCGCTGACTAGGGGGAATCTCACCCTCAGAGGCTGATCTCCAGACACCTCGTTCCATCTCTGTTGTACACAGACCGCCCCACCCCACCCCACCCCTGGCACTCCTATTTTCAGCTTTCCTCTCCTGCTCAGAGTTAGGAACTCAACTCCTGATGACTTTTATTTTTTTCTCTCATAACCTGCTTCTTCTATCCAGCACGACCCTGACAGCAGCTTCGTCCTGTTGTGAGCACTTCACAGTGACCCTCACAGGTGAGTATACTCTCATCACCTCCATTCCCCACATGAAGAAACTGGGGCTCTGAGGAGTGAAGTGAAGCCACTTGCCCCAGGTCACACGGCCAGGCCGGGGTCTGAACCCAGGCAGTGTGACCCACTCACCTGACTGTAGAGATCCTCCCGGCAGGGACTTCTTGGCCACCTCGGCCAGTGCTCCCAGCCCCAAGCCCACAGCCAGTCCTGAGGAGTGAGAGAGGACCCTTAGTGCCTGCTTGCCCAGGGCATTCTCCCCCTGACCCTCTCTCTTCTTTCCCTTTCTCTCTAAACACACTTGTCTCTGAGCTCTTTGTTGCCAACTCTCTGAATGTCTCTGTCCCTAACTCAGTCCCTTACTCTCTCCCTGCTTGGGGTTCCTTTCAAGGCGAGGCTACCTCTTTTTCTATTCCTCTCTCCTGGTCTCTGTCACCTGCGTCTGCAGTTCTCATGCTCTGTAACACATCCGAGTCACGTGAGGCACTTATATAAATACAACGCCCAAGCCCTACCCGAGCTTCTAAGTAAACTGGCCCGAGGCCTCAGAATCTGTTTTTTTTTTTTTTAAAGCATCCTGGATGATTCTAATGTGCAGCCAAAGGTAAGAAGTTCCCAAAATGGCCCCAAGTTTCTCTGTGAGTTCCTACGAGTCCTGTTTCTCTACCCACACCTCCTTTTCTTCATACTCATCTTTCCTTTTCTAAGTCAGTTATTTCTCCATCTCCCCATTTCCCCCCACCTGGCACATCTGTCCAGGCCTCTTTCTGTTTCTTCTTTTGATGTTATTTCTCTGGCTCTGATTTCCTCTGCCTCCTCTCTCCCCTTGTCCCCAAAGATATCATGCGTCTCTGCCTCTTTCACTGTCACCATCTCTGTAAACAATCGTAGCTGGCACCTTCAACATTCCAGGGACCATTCCTAGTGTCTTATATGCATTAATTCACTGTCTTCACACCCTTGTGAGATAAGTTTTACAGGAAAACTTCCATTTTACGGAAAAGGAAATCGAGGCTCAGAGAAGTTAAAATAACTCATCCAGAGTCACAAAGTGAGGATGCAGCAGAATCAGCCCTTGAACCCTGGGCAGCCTGGTGTCAAAGCTCTAACCACTGCATTGGACTTCTTCTTTATACTGTGAATCGGTGTCTTTAAAACTTGAACCATGATCCACAGTACAGACATCTGCATTGTAATGGGTATAGACCAATGGATACATAATGTTCCATAGAACAAGATTTTCCCTTACTCTACAGGTTCATTCGTATTGTCCATTCTATTCTTCCTTTTAACGCTGGTTGCAACTCATTAAATTATTTCAAGCAGATTGAGACCTGAAGTTTGAACGATCCTGCTGCTTGACCTGGGGTCAAGTCATTTCACCTTCCTTGGCCTCCATGTCTTCATCTGTAGAATGGAAATACTCATCAACTCAGTGCAGAGAGCACATGTATGGGATCTTGCACATTCTTCCAAGTTCTCAATAAATGTTACGTTCCTCTCTATTTCTCTTGGTTTCGCAGGCCTTTGCCTTCACTTTCTTTCCGACTCTCCCTCCTGTCTCTGATTCACCCTGTCCCTTGGCTCATTCTGTAAATGTCACTTCCTCTGATCTAGCTCACAGTCTCCCACAGTCACACCTACCGCCAAAGTTGGCCAAGCGGCTGATGCGGGAGGCGGGCACCTTGCGTTCTCGAGAGCGGTCACTCAGCTGGGAAATGGGAAAAGGTCTGAGGACAGGGAGGTGCGCACAGTGCCCGGGGCGCCCAACCAACCTGCTACCACACCCTTCCCCAAGCTTGGCAGGCCAGCTGCCTTCATGGGGTGCTGCTGGCTGGGTGGGAAGCAATGATACCTGGGGCCGGGGTGTCTTCCTGAGCCGAGCCTCCCGTGCCTTGCGAATATCTTCCTCTCCCAGGCCTGTGCTAGGCTTACCCTGATGAAGTTTTCGGGCCCAAGAATCCCCATAGAGCCCCTGCAAGAGATGCGGACGTTGGTAAGGAGTGGAAGACGTGGGGTCTGCCATGTCCCCCCTCAGCCTCTTCCCCTTGGAGACCCTTCCCCGGCCTCTTACCTGCCAGTGGAGCCCAGGCCCCAGAGCCCCACAAGGCAGACCAACGGTCTGGCCCAACTGTCCACGGGTCCCCTGCAGTAGACCCCCCACCTTCAGCCACATCGCCTGGGGGAGAAGAGGAGGTATTATTCGGATAGGAGTTGTGGGACTGACCTCCCTGCTTTGCTCGCCCCCCGCCCCACCCGTCACCAAGCCCTTACATTCTTCCATGTCCACGCTAAGACTCCTACCCACCAAAGCCTTCCTCCCCTGTTATAGCCCCTCCAGTTTCTCCTGGTTCCCCTTCTCGTTGCTAGGAACCCATAGCTCTTCCTGCGCCCCTCCCAAAACCCACTCTCCCCCTGCCCCACTCCCTGCCCGTTGCTAGGGTTCTCCCCCGTTGCTAGACACCCACAGATCTTCCTGGGCTACCTCTCTACTTCTTTGAGCCACCCTCGTCGCTAGGAACCGCCTTCCCCTACGTTGTTAGGCGCCTACAATTCCTCCGGTATCCCCCCGCACCCCGTTACTGGGCACCTCCCCCCGTTGCTAAGCACCCACTGCTCCCAGGATTCTGGTCCGCAAAGCACGAAAGCCTCCTGCGCTTCCGGGAGTCTCCGCACGCCCGCCCCCTCCGGTCAACTAGCCAATGGCGGAGCAGCAGCTCTCTGACCCGCGCGACCCGCCCTGCTGTGTGTAGGGGGAGGAGGCGGGGGCGGAAAGAGGCGGGGCCTGAGGGTGGGCGTTGGGGCCTGCGTGGAATCTTTAAGGCAAAGCGGGAGCGCACACGTGCCCTTTGATGCCCTTCCATTCATCTCAAAGTTCCTCGTGCTGGGCGGACTTTTCTGTTCCCTCTACCGTCTTGTTTGCAGACACCCCTCTTCCTTACAAAGCCCACACCTCTGCTCTGCGGTAACATCTTGCCAAGCTCCCTTCTTATTTCTAGCCCCAGCAAGCTCAACATCTCTCCTTTGAGCGCATGTCTTCCCAGGAAACATTTCCCGTGCACATGGAGCCCCTCGACTTTGCACACCCACCCTCTGCTTCAAACACCACATCTTGGAACCCAGCCTCTTCCTTACTCACCAACTGTCTCCCTCTTGCACTCTCAACTCTTCTGTGTACATAAAGCCCCTCACACTCAGCCCCTTGAGCCCTGTTCCCTCTTACTCCCTGCTCTCTCTGCTCCCCGCCCACCTGCTGGATGGTGTGAGCGGGGGACCCCTCTGTTTCCTGTAGCCCTGACATTTCCCAGAACACACTCAGCCAAGATTCCCAGAGCTGAGTCAGGAGCCTTGGCATTCCAGAAAAACAGCTCCCAGCCCATCTGGGTGTGTGCGTTGGGTTGAGGGGGGGAGCAGGCCAACTTAAAGCCTGCTTCCCCTACAACAGACTGACTCACCCCTCTCCTTACAGTCTGTAATAGAAACAGCTGGCTGGGGCCTCTCTCCCACGGCTGAGAGAAGGAGGGGTGTGATGCTCCCCCCACAGACCCCTGCCCCAGTCTAACCCCTTTGTCAGGAATCAGACTTCCCTGTTTCTGTCCCTGTACTACATGATCTCAGAAGAGCCTTGACCTTTTCCGAAACTCAACTTCCCAGCCTGTGTGATGTACTAGGGGGCTCGTACTACGACTTCATTGATCTGTGAAGAGATGACTCATTTTAGAGCCCTGGAACTGTGCCCAATGCCCCTCTCACAAGTGACTCAATTTCATGAGAGAAACCCCACCCATCCACCCTGTCCTCCTTGAGACACAAGGGTCTGACTCAGGAGCTGAGTGACAGCTAGCCCTTAAGAGTAAAAATAAATAAAAAGCACCTATGACAATAACTAATTCACAGGACTGTGGCGGATGGTGCCAAGCCTGGTGCCACATGCTTCACACACATGAAGTCATATCAGATAGCCTATTGGCTACAAAGGTTAGCAGACTTCTGAGCCTCAGTGTCCCCATCCGTAAAATGGGGCTGTGGCATCCTCTCTTGCTCAGTGTTAGTGAAAGAGATGCAGTGACATAGTGTGTCTGTAAAGAGCTTGGCACAGGGCCTAGTACAGAAACAAGAGTTCTACACATGAGAAAAATTTCTTAGGGAAAAATCACTTTTTTTGAAATTTCTATTATGCATTTACCGTGTGCTTTTCTAGGTACTGGGGACATAACAAGGAACAAAACAAGCAAAAATCTTTGCTTTCTTGGTGCTGGCTTCTGGTAAGGGGCACAATAAACAAAATAAATGAGTACAAGCATACCTCGTGTAAGTATGCTTTGCTTTATTGTGCTTCAAAGATATTGTGTTTTTTTACAGATTGAAGGTTGTTAGCACCCTGTCTTGAGCAAGTCTATTGGTGCCTTTTTTCCAACAGGCTCAGAGAATAGTTAGTACTTTTTATCGATAAAGTATTTTTTAATTAGGTTGTGTACATTTCTTTAAAGGAATAATGTTATTGCACACTTAATAGACCACAGTATAGTTTATGATAACTTTTTTATAGTTTATTTTTATTAATTTTTATTATGGTGACATTATACATAACTTTCATATGCACTGAGAAACCAGAAAATTTGTGTAACTTACTCTTTCACAATATTTGCTTTATTGAGGTAGTGTGGAACTGAACCTGCAGTATCTCTAAGGTATGCCTGTGTGTGTAATAAGGTGACATGTTAAAAAGAAAAAATAAACCAGTGAAGGGGGGCAGGGAGTGGAGGGAAGATTGTGAGATTAAATAGGATGGTCAGAAAAATAGATAGATAGATAGATAGATAGATAGATAGATAGATAGATAGATAGATAAAGATGGCCAGGGAAGGCCTCACTGATGAGGTGACATTTGAACAAAGACCTGAAGGAAGTGAGGGAGGGAGGTATTGGAAATATCTGAGGGAAGAGTATTCCAGGCGGAGGGAAGAAACAGCGCAAAAGTCCTGTGGTGGAAGATATCTCAGAGAATAGTAGAGGCCAGTGAGCAGAGTGAGTGAAGGGAAAAGACGGAGGAGACAAGGTCTAGGAGGTAATAGGAGCCAGAGTATGTAGAATACAGTGAATCACGGTGAGGACTGTGGCTTTTACTCTGAGTGGGATGGGAACCCTGGAGTGTTCTGAGCAGAGAAGAGTCATGATCTGATTCAGAAAAAACACTTCTGGCTCCTCCTCCAACATCCCAGCCTCAGAAGCAAGTTCTATCACCCAGTGGGAACCAAAAGTCCAGACTTCGGGTTAGATTGGCCTGAGTTCAAATCTACACAGCTTAGATATGTGATCTTGACTCACTGTTCTGCCTTTCTGTGTTTCTCTTTTCCTGATGGTGTAGTGGGGATGATGATGATCCCTACCTCACAAGACTTGGGGTATAAAGTGTTAAGTACAGTGCCTGACACAAAGCAAGTGTACAAATGTACATGTTTTGTTGTAAATAAATAAAAATTCCCATAACAGCGCCGTCAGGAAATTATCCTCGTTATCCCCCTTTTACAGATGAGTAAACTGAGGCTCAGAGGAGGCAAGTCTATTGGGAAACAGCAACCTGCGGAAGCGAGTGTTAGAGCCAAGATTTGGCAAAGCATCTTAGCTTCAGTTAAGGCCCTGACTTTATCCTTCCTCTAACCTTCCTTTGACTTTACACAAATTCTTTCAGCGCTCTGGGCCTCAATTTGCCCGTTGGTGACGTGCTTGGCTCTTGAGGCATTGAGCACACATTTTTTGAAACAATCAAATAATACTATGTATTCTCATTTTACAGGCGGCAAAACTGAGCCAGGGCTGAGGTAGGAACGTAAGTCAATCCTCAAGGTAACACAGCTAGGAAGTGGCAAAGGCGGGTCTTGAACCCACATCTCTGGGATTGAGTCTTTGAAACTCAGTCCTGAAGAGAGAGCGCGCTGAAGAAGGAACGCGCTGCTAGACTCCTCATCGAGCGTTATAGGGTGTAGGGAGGTTGGATGAGTCGCAGGGGTTTAAAAAGGGGCCCCGCTGGCCCGCAACCAGGACCCCGGACGTCTCAGCACCTGGACGACCGTCCGGCGCTGGGAAGCCGGCAGTTCCACGGCGGGGGGGCGGGGCCAGGCGAGATCCGGCCCCCTTTGCGTCACGTCCTGTGGGGCGGGGTTTCGGGGCTTTCCCCGGGTGGGGGGAGTATCGGTTAACCCCTGCGTGGCCCGAAGGGCTGGAGCTCTGTGGGCCGGAACCGGGAGTCGGGGTTCCCTAACCACACCCCTCACGGGATTTAAAGGGGCAGGAGGGCTGGGTCAGGCCGAAGCCCCAACCAAGGGAGCTGGCATGAGGCGCTGCCCGTGCCGGGGGAGCCTGAACGAGGCCGAAGCCGGGGCGCTGCCGGGGGCGGCCCGCATGGGGCTGG